TTATCACTCTAATTGGAAAAAATCAAATATGCAGTGAGATCACTTAGCTGTGAAACCTGAGTGCCGTCCTGCTGATGAAGTTTACAAAAGAAATTTAATCTGAGAAATTAATTTGAGAGAAACAGGAAAGGAATAGAATCTTACCATGTCAGGTCTTGAAAGAGAAAAAAAAAAAGCAAACACACAGATACTCATATTTACCTTAGGTGATTATGGCGAATCTGTCATAGGTTGCTGCAAAATAGATGACAAACTTAATTTGCTGGTAGGATTGTCTGTTTTAGGAAGGTTTTTCCCAGCATAATTTTGATAAGTAAATGCTTAATATCTTCATACTCTCAAATAAGAAAGCTGTATTTGTGCATTTTTCTGAATGCATGGCAAGCTAAAGACCCTAAGTTGAGGCTAAAATATTGAGGAAGGGGGAGTTAAATGGAGCTTTCAGTGATACATAGTTCCTCTGTGAAGGATCATACTATTTGTCTGGTCATTGAAAAATACCCTAATGCAACTGAGTGAGTTTCTCTGAAAAATAAACATGTATTAAAAAAAAAATTAAGTCCGAGTACTCTATTATAATGGTTTGTGACCTTTTTAGAATAATGCTTGCGTGTTGCTGTTCTTACTATAATTTGAATGTTTTGCAAGAAGTAACTAGCAGAGGGTGACAATTGTCTCTGCTGTCCAAAAAAAAAAAAAAACAAACACCAAAACCATGCTGAAATTGTTGTGAATGTACCTTGAATCAAAAGAGATTGCACGAAGTTACTGATGAAGCGTTATGTTTTAACCCCAGCTGGCAACTAAGCACCACACAGCCACTCCCTTCCTCCCTCCTCGGTGGGATGAAGAAACAATCAGAAGAGTAAAATTGAGAAAACTTGTGGGTTGCGATAAATACAGTTTAATAGGTAAAGCAAAAGATGCGCACGCAAGCAAAGCAAAACAAGGGATTCCTTCACTACTTCTCGTGGACAGGCAGGTGTTCAGCCACCTCCAGGAAAGCAAGACTTCATCATGCTTAGTAGTTACTTGGGAAGACAAATGCCATCACTCTGAACGTCTCTCCCTTCCTCCTTCTTCCCTCAGCTTTATATGCTGAGCATGGTGTCATATGGTATGGGATACCCCTTTGGTGAGTTGGGATCAGCTGTCCCAGCTGTGTCCCCTTCCAACTTCTTGTGCATCGCCGGCCTGCTGGCTGGTGGGGTGGGGTGAGGAGCAGAAAAGGCCTTGACTCTGTGCAAGCACTGCTCGGCGGTAACGAAAACATCTCTGTTATCAACACTTTTTTCAGCACAAATCCATTTTGGAGGGAGCCCTTGCGGGCATGTTCTATTTATTCTGTTTTCTACAGAATAACTATTTCAAAGCAGTTACTGAAGTTAAATGTCTAAGTGTAAACAAACTTACAAAGAAAATAAATGACTGTAACAATGAGATAAAATTGAGCAAAGGCAAGAGGAGCAGCAAGCATTCTGCTCAAATCGGGTGTAGGTGCTGCTACTGGCTTCCAGCTTAATGTTTCAGTCACACATCTGAATGAAAACGTAATAGTTTTCTGATCAGCTCAAGTATTTCAAACAAATGGACTGAAATGAAAGAAGACCTGTGTGCATTTTCGTTAGAAGCAGAAAAATAGACCATTATGTTCGTGCCATGTTGAAGCAAATAAAATGAGAGTAACTTATTCAAAATGAGGTAAATAAAAGGAAACAAATAATATAGATTCTTAAAACGAGAGGAGAAAATAAATTGCACACAGTAGAAAATGGGAGGTAGACGTTAAACAAGACATTCAGTAAGCGTCTAATTTTTTTTAGTCAAGTCAAATGGACTTTGGTCCGTTATAGTGGGATATGTAGGGATCAAGGAAACCGGCAATAAGAGAACATAATCAAGACAATGAAAAGAGTTTTGCAGATAGCAAAATAACCTTGGTCTTATATAAGGCATAAATGTAGACTAAATTTATGTGAAAGAAGAAAAAATTAAAAATGATACTGTCGTGCTAATGACTGTACTACAGGAAAAAGAAAGTAAGATCATTTGGGAGAGACAAGGTCAGTCCTAGGTATGTTTAAACTAGCAATGAGTTATGCAAGAAAATCTGAAATGCAGTGAAGTGAGTATTTAAGAGTAGCTGCATCCTTGAAAATAAGCCTCACATCTTGTATTGTCATGCAGAACTCAAATTATTATATTATTCAAGTATGTGTAAATACTGAAGTATATGCTGTGCATGAAATGCTGTCAATGGAATTAGAAGTATGATTGTGCGGTTTTGTTAGACTGCTATGTTAAACTAGTTCAGGATGAGAAATCTGTGCTTCGACAAAGGCCACCAGTATAATTCCTATGATCTACTACTTGACTTCCCCCTTTTTGGACACACCCTGTCTAAGGGGCACATGTGTAAGAAGTGACAATAACCCTTTAGGTACTTACCATATGAGTGAAATGGAGACCACACTAAACTACGTGTTATTGGGGGATAACGTATGTGCACATAGATTTGGTGCTCGAGGTGGCGGCACGTTGAGCATATGACTGACAGGCATGTTGTAGGACGAAGGGGGCTACAGCACACATGTTCCTGCCTGGCCTTGTCTTGGCCATCTGGCCGGCCCCAGTAAGAGGACTGAGCACCTCTTGTCAAATCTGTGCAGAAGAAAACTTCATGCTAGCGGTGTTTTTCAGTCTTTTTTTCAGGATGGCTTTCCAGATCTGGACTAACTGAGTGTTGACTGGTTCAGTTTTTCAAGTAGCAGTGGTATTTAGCATGCAGCGGTATTTTATTGAAGTGATAATAATATCATAGGTAGAGTAACCCAAGGCAAGGCTGCACACATTCAGGTCTGCTATTGTATGTTCATTTTGATGATCTCTTCACCCGAAAACAAAAGTGTAGGAAAATAGTGTGCATTAACAAGTTTGTTCCTTTGTAATGACTGGCAAGTATAGTTGAGTAATTCTGTTAATAACTGAAGAAAACTCCTGTGCTGGACAAAATGCATGTACATTCAAATTCATATTTGTTGGAATGTACCTTGATAAACTGATGCTGTAGTTACTATAAGCACAGTAATTACCACCATGATCTAGAAGAGCATTTGTAAAGCAGCTGTCTAAATTAGTACACGCAACAGTCATAAACAGAGGAAAGTGGAAAAATTGTCTTTTGTTAGTGAGATCACAACTGAGTAAACAAAACAGTAAAATTCATTAAAAACTAGAAAACATTTCCTAAATACTTATGTAGATGTTTTGGAATTGTGTTGTGGTAGAAAGTACTAGTTGGAAATACTGAATACTCAGGATGCATAAAAATGTTCAAGTGAGTGTATACTTGGATTTTTTTTTCTCTTATGAGAACAAACACATTGAGAGATTAATGTAAAAGCTTACTGATGGATGCAGAATCACTTCATCTCGATAGGATGTACACCTATCCACTAGTAACAGTTTGATTCAATTCACCAATCTGCTGCAGATAAGAGAAACTGCACACAAAAATGCAATTGAACTGAAAGTTTTGGAAAAATACATATTATTCATTACAAACTTTGCTTACAAAGCACAGTCATTGAGAACTGTTGAGGAAAAAAAGAAAGATGACATGACATACAGCTGTGGGTTGTTTTTTAAGGATTTTTAGGTACTTCTAAATTCCAGTGTACAGCCTATTAAATGGAATTAAAGAGAAACCACAGGACTAGTGTTTAGAAAAATTCGACTTATTAAAACAGCAGCAGCATGGATCCAAAGGGGTTTTTGGAAGTGATGCTTCCTGTGTTTCTTGGTTAGAGGATTACTTTCTGTAGTAAAGCTGTTAGTTTGGTTTTGGTTTTGTTTTTACTGTGCTTGCCCAGTTCTGTGCAAGTACTTCATATTAATTAAATACTCAAGATTATTGCATTTGAATCCTCCTCTACTCCACACTCATATTTGTCTATTTAATATATCATAGAACTGTAAGGTTAAAAAAATGCTTTTTGCACTTCAGCAGTAGTCTAATATGTTCTAATATTATTCATCATACTTGTGGGTCAGTTGGGATGAAAGTGGTTGCCCACACATGAGTCTTACTCTTGTGGTTTACATTCTCATCATACTATTGGAATGCAGTTGTCATTTGTTTCTTAGACTGGTATCTATCACCATAGCATGTGGGTGTCTGAAATCATGATCTCAGAGTGATGCAGGTCTTCAGGTAATATGCCAACCTCATGGTGGTCTTGGAAAAATACGGCAAGCTTTGAGCCATGTTATGTATAGTTGTCTATGATTTATAGGCTTAGTTATGGAGATTCAATGCAAAGAGTAGAATACTATGGTGACAGGCTGACACACTAACCTGTACTGCTGAGTAAAAGAGATTTCCACATTCAGAAACCACTTTTTTAAAAAAAAAATAAATGTAGGTGACTTCATGTCTAAGTTAGGCTTTGCTATTGCAGAATGCTTACTCTCCAAATGCAACAGTCATTGTTACAGGCTGTTTCCATACTGAATTACAGGGATTGTTTCTATAATTCTGTCATGTGCACTGCAACTGTATTTAGTAGATTCCAGTCTTCTATTAAAAAGAAAAATATAAGCCAAGTTTTTCAATATTGTTTTTCAACAATACTTGTTTATTTATTGTGTTTAATTCTCAATATGTTTGTCCTTCAGTGTATTCTGTTATGCTTTTACAGTGTGGGGTTTGTAGGAAGAACAGGAGAGGGAGATACACCTTCAGAAGTAATTAATCCACTTCTAATAGAGTTGCTTAATTAGTTTAGATGAATCATCCTCTCACATGTCTATTTCTCTCCATAGGCTGTGGAATGAGTCTGGGTGACTCTCTGAGACTAGACAACTAGAAAAAGCTGAGTGAGATGAACCTGTCCTTAGTATTTGAAAGAATGGTGGTTGCCTGGGTAATCATAGAAAACTTAAATCTCTTTTCAATTTTGCTTATTCTTATTTCTCTTATTTTTCTTTTTCTGTTATAGGTCCTGATGTCTTTACATGAAATGTTCCCAGCAGTGCATGCAGCAGAAATGGCGGTCCAGAGAAACCCACGTTCCTGGGATGCCTGGCAGACTTTGGGACGTGCCCAGCTTGGATTAGGAGAGATAGCACTGGTAGGAAGATGGACAACATTAATATGCTAAACTTGTAAACCACACTCTCGGCCTTTTGGCTAAGATCAAGTGTAGTGTAGTATCTCTAAATTGTATGTGAGAGAATGAGAATACAGAAATACCAAGGTAGCTGAATATCCTTATGTAACCTGAAAATAGGCAAGGGAAAAGGTTGTTGTTATTTATCTCCAGTATTCCCTCTACTTTGTATTTTTTACAAATACATCCTGTGTGGTTTTGTTGCTAGGCTTTTGGAAGACCTGCCTAGCTTGAAACCTTTTGTGTTATCTACAATATTTACGTGGTGGCTTTATGTAATAGAATAATTATGTTGACATAACTGCACATACTACATTCTGAGCACTGTACTGCTGCAGTGCAGCTCACCATAGTTTAAAGGTGAAGGTACTGTGAAGTCCCAGTTGATGTTCAGGCTCAGTTCTATACATGCCTGCTAATATAATTCTAGTACCTTGTTTTCACCGACTCCTACTGAGGTGCAGCAAATCACGTGTGCTCATTCATGCTTTCCTCTGGCTCCTTGACCCTAAATGCTGGCTGAAGCTGCTTCTTTTCTAATGAGACAGCAAAAAGGCTGGGATGCTCTGCAGTAGCTGGAGTGCATCTTTTCTCTACCTGCAGCTGTTTGCCCTCGTGCTGTCTTGGCTACATGATGTGATGCAAAAGGAGACTCTTCCTCCATGTCAGATCACCCTCCACCTGTAGGCTATACACTTGTAAATAACGTAAAGTACATAATGTAATAGTTTTCTGCTAGGTAGTGTGGAAACATAGTGAGTGAAGTTTTTTAATTCAGACACATTAACTAAAGTCTGTTAGAAAAATGTTTCACCATGAGTTTTCACGTAAAAAAAGATTTATTTTTTTTTTAATAGAAGTAGCTGTGTGCTGGTTTAATACATAAAATTTTGTTCTAGAATGTTTTTGCAAGTTTACAATGTTTGGACCAAACATTTTCAGGAATAAAAAAAATAATTATGATTTTTTTGAGGGAGGCTAACATCACACAAAACCAGTTTCTTTTAATTTAAAATGTACTGAGGAGCAGTATTAAAGTACAAACAAAAAAAACAAACAATGAGAATATGTCATGGTTTAGCCCCAGGCAGCAGCTAAGCACCCCTCTGCACTGCAGGCCGCACATGTCGCACATGTCGCGGGTTCCTTTGTCCCTTCTTAAATGCATTGCTCCCAGAGGCGGTGATTATCTCGGCCCTGGACAGAGGTGGGTCCCACTTGGAGCTGTGGAAACTTCCAGCAGCTCCTGACAGGGGCTATACTTGTAGCTCCTCACCTGCTACCAAAACCTCACCACATAAACCCAGCACAGAATAACATAAGATAAAAGCTGTGTGTTACAGATGTGTAGTGGGCTATTTTATCTTGCTGCAGTATCATAATACAACATATTCAATATGAATCCAGACATATCTGCATCACATCACTTAACTGGTGACATTCCATGACTTTTGTGGTGTAGAAGGTAAAAGTAGATGGTCTGTCCTCTCTGGATCTACAATCTATAATTTTTTTTTTTTCCTTTTAAGTGCCTGAAATTGTTGCTGTAAATTATGTCTGAGATTTTTAAATGCATTAGTCTCTGGGAATTCAAAGTTTTATTTCCTTCAAGAATCCTAGGTAACTGATGCTGCTTATTGTATAAAATATGCTAGTTACTGTGGTGTGAATTGTAGATATTGATATACCAATACTAGTTATACCACCAGGTATCTGCTCACCAGATACTGTAAGTGTTGTCTACATTGGCAAGTCACATCACACCAATAGGAGTAGATATCTTGAATTACTAGTGCTGGGGACCCAATGTCCACATTAGACTAATTTTGTTCTGCTTGGAAGCAGTTTGGTGCACCTCAGGTGCTCTCTTGGAGTGCACCGCCAAGCTTAATGAGAAAGGAATCCAGTTTGTGTAGCCTGAGACTGTTTCATGATGCAGACCAAAGCACTGTAAATGGGAACAATCAGAGATTTGCATCAAAGCGCGTTATTAATCTGAAACAGAACGCTAGGTGCTTCTGTAATTGTTAAATTAACCTTACTGTCTGTGAAGAGAGAGGGAGGAGGGATTATCACGAGGTAGTTTGCCCTCTGAATGTTTTTGTCTGTCTGTTTGCGTAGGGAGCCCAGAGGTGACTAAGCTCCTGTCGGTGTCTCCAGTGCTTTAGTACTGGTGTTTCTACTTTTTTGCCTTTCTATGTTCTCACGTACAAAGAATAACTTGGGGAGCTATTCTAAAATGCAGATAATGTTCACTATTTATTTTTGAACCAAGCAATTTTTAAGGAATCTTAAAAGATTAAGACTGGAGGAGTCTTAAAAGGTTAAATGATTTCATAATTATTGAATCTGTGGAGGCTTCTTGACCAGGTGGTCTAAGTCTTAATTATCCTTTTCCCATTAGCCTTTTATTACCATAATCTTTTAATTTTTCACTGCATTATATATTTTACAAAGAAAAGTTAATAAAGGATAGATGTAAGGGCTTTTTAGTAATGTTTGATATTTGGGAATTACTATCCATCTCAAGAGCAGCTCCTTCTGTTGCTTTGTTTCATTTCTCCCCCACCAATGTCTGTCTTCACTACCCACATCCTGCCAAATGGTCTGTTGTAAATATTTTTATTACTTCACAATGAATGATGCCCTTTTTCATCAGAAAAAACAATTTACTGTATTTTAATTTCATGTTTCCCAGGTCTAAAATACAGCTTCCAAACAAATCTAATTTATATTATGAGCTGTGTAATATATTCATTTCTGGCAAAAAAAGAAAGATTTGGTTTGGTTTGTTTTTGCCAAACTTGTGACAGAAAGAGTGAGATAAATTAGCCCCTTTTTATTTAGCTTTTACAAAAGATGTTTGCTCTTTTTTCTGGATTGACTAAACAGGGTAATTCAACAGTAATACTTAAATGTGAGCAGGTAGAACTTTACTTCTGTAAAGGCAGAGATTCCTTAAATTCTACAAATCAATTTGCAAAGGCATACCCAAGTAAACTTAGCAACGTAAATGTCGATACTGTAGAAATGTAGTCAGACTTGCAATATTTCTTTCATTTAATTGTAAATGTTTGTTTTTACAAATGATATTTACTGTATTGATGACAATTAAATGTAACAAATAGTAACAATGATAATTTAAATAGTAACAATTTCACACTAGTATCTTCATTAGAACAGTTCTTCCAATGAGACAGAGTAAGCCTCACACTTATTAAACAAGCAAACAACAAAAACAAAATAAATTTTTTTAAAAAAAACAACCAACCAACTGAAAGTGTCTGAGGCTCACACCTTGGAGAAATTCATAAGCCAGCTGGACATGGTGATGGGTGGCCACCTCCAGGTGGCCCTGCTTGAGCAGCAGGTTCGCCCAGATGACCTCGGAAGATCTGGCCAACCTCAACCATTCTGGGATTCTGTGACTTAAGCTTACCCCGTTGGAGGCTGGGGCTTCCATGTCAAATCTGGAGTACTGAAGATTACAAAGTTAACCAAGCAGACGCGTAAATACGAACTGCTTATGCGTGCTTTTTGTTTGGAGTTTTGGAGGATGTGGCTTACTGTATTGTTACTAAGTAGTTAGTGGTTTAGCAGTCTTCAAATGTGATACTACATCAAGCCTTGGCAATATGAATCCTCAGATTAGTCCTTTTCTTTTATTGAAAGAAATAGTTTTAGGTCTTTTGCGTAATGGTGGGAGTTATGTACTAGCAAAGAGGTAAATTACTGCATTCTCTTGGAATCCAGCTAATTAGCGTAACATTCTGAATTTGAGAGAATTTTTCAAAATGTTACTAATGTAAGTATGTAGAAACATAAAGATTTTGATAATCAAAAGGAAACGAATGCTTGGCTTTCCATTGAAAAGCAGTCAAGTCTGTGCTTCAGATTGTGTTCCTTTCAACTTGAGGTATAAATAACTCAGATTTTATTTTTATAGTTTTATATGAGATTAGAAAATTTAATTACACTGCTGTGGTAATCTTTCTAAGAACAACAAAATGTGTGTATTATTTTATAGTCATGGAATATTTAATTTTATCAGTATATTAATATAGTTGAAAGTTATTCTTCTTATGTGCATAAATGGAAAGAAAAGGAGGCAATGCAATTTTAAAAATTGCTATTTGTTTTCTAATTTTGGACTAGAATTTCATGTTATTCCATTTATAGTTTTTGTGGTCACACGTTAAATGGTAATGTTTTCCTTATCAGCCTTTGATAAAAAACATTTCTTTTGAAAATAAAACACAGGACAAGGCATATTTCTGTCCTGCCAACTCCATCTTGAAGTACCTTCCAGCCACACACACATTCTAGAGAAGAGTATTTGGGAAGTATTAAGTTATAGAGAAAATAAAATGCTGTGTCAGTTAAAGTGGGGTTCTGTTAAATTCTTTTCAACATCTTTAAACAGTCCTACCCAGTTATAGGTAATATCAGGTAATACTCTGTAATACTGCCTTCCTCAGAAGTCATAGAATCATAGAATGGTTTGGGTTGGAGGCAACCTTAAAGATCATCCAGTTCCAACCTGCCTGTCACGAGCAGGGACACTTTCCACTAGATCAGGTTGCTCAAAGCCTCATCCAACCTGGCCTTGACCTCTTTCAGGGATGGGGCATCCACAACTTCTCTGGGAAACCTGTTCCAGTGTCTGACCACCCTCACAGTGAAGAAGTTTTTCCTTATATCTAATCTAAATCTGCCCTCTTTCAGTTTAAAGCCATTGCCCCTTGTCCTATCACTACATGCCCTTGTCAAAAGTCCCTCTCCAGCTTTCTTGTAGGCCCCCTTTAGGTACTGGGAGGTTGCTCTATGTTCTCCCTGGAATGTTCTCTTCTCCAAGCTGAACTCCAACTCTTTCAGCCTCTCTTCATAGCAGAGGTGCTCCAGCCCTTGGATCATCTTTGTGGCCCTCCTCTGGACTCACTCCAGCAGCTCCATGTCCTTCTTATGTTGGAGTCCCCAGAGCTGAACACAGTACTCCAGATGGGATCTCACGAGAGCAGAGTAGAGGGCAGAATCACTTCCCTCGACCTGCTGGCTACATTTCTTTGGATGCAGCCCTGGATACGGTTGGCTTTCTGGGCTGCAAGTGCACGTTGCCGGTTCATGTTGATCTTCTTATCCACTAACACCCTAAGTCCTTCTCCTCAGGGCTGCTTCTCCGCCCAGCCTGTCCTTGTGCTTGGGATTGCCCCCACCCATATGCAGGACATTGCACTTGGCCTCGTTGTGCTTCCTGAGGTTCACACAGGCCCACTTCTCAAGCCTGTGAAGGTCCCTCTGGATGACTGTCGCAGCAGCTTGTCCACCACACCACACAGCTTGATGTCTCTCCAATTTAGAGACAAGGGTGTCAAATGCTTTGGAGAAGTCCAGGTAGATGATGTCATTTGCTCTTCCTTTATCCACCAAGGCTGTAACCCTGTCATAGAAGGCCACCAAATGTGTCCGGCAGGATTTGCCCTTAGTGAAGCCATGTTGACTGTCACCAATCACCTCCTTTTTTTCCATATGCTTTAGCATGGTTTCCAGGAGGATCTGCTCCATGACCTTGCCAGGCACAGAGATGAGACTGGCTGGTCCGTAGTTCCTCAGGTCTTCCTTTTTTTCCCTTTTTAAAGATGGGGGCTATGTTTCCCCTTTTCCAGTTGGTGAGAACTTCACTGGACTGCCACGAATTCTCCAATATGATGGGTAATGGTTTAACAACTTCATCTGCAAGTTCTATCTGGACCCTTGGATGCATCTCATCAGGTCACATGTACTTGTGCACCTTCAGGTTCCTTAGATGGTCTTGAACCTGATCTTCTCCTACAGTGAGCAGCTCTTCATTCTCCCATTCTCCCTGACTTTGCCTTCTTCCACTTCTTTTGAGGTGGAAGGACAGGTCCATGTCCTTCTTATGTTGGGGGCCCCAGAGCTGAATTCAGCGCTCCAGGTGGGTTCTCACGACAGCAGAGTAGAGGGGCAGAATCACCTCCCTTTACCTGCTGGCCACACTTCTTTTGATGCAGCCCAGGGTACGGTTGGCTTTCTGGGCTGCCAGCACACGTTGCCAGCTCATGTCCAGCTTTTCATCCATCAGCACCCCCAAGTGTTACGCTGAATGCTGTAAAAAAATCCACAGTTAAGGATCATTAAACACAGGGTAAAATTACTTACAGATGTATACGTATCTTCACTGACGAACATCCTTTGAAATGGGTCAGATAGTGTCTGTCAGGTGTAACATAAAGGCTTAATACAAACCTTGGGGGCAGATGTGAACTGCATAACCTCTTCAATGCTCCTTTACCTTTTCTTGAGATCACTGTATAATGACCATTACTAGGTCCATGTGTTATAAAACATGCTATAAAAAGTGTGGTCTCATTAAAACTGCCCTTCTAGTCTAAACACTCTGCAAACCAGCAGAAGAGATTCTGCTCATGGGACAAATGGAAGATTGTTTGCTACAGAATACCCTATAGTGAGATGAATTGTAAATTATTTTAAAAATACGAATTCTTCAAGTAGTGTAATTCAGCAAGCAAGAACGTCTTGCAGTAGGTTTTATAGTACTTTTCTCTACAGAAGCAAAAGTAGATATGTAGCTACATACCGATTTAAAATCCCGTATTCCTTACATGCAGGGTCTCTAAGACCATAGCTGCCCTTTAAAATTGTCTTCCCTATCTCCTGGGGGTTGGGGAGGGTGAGCAAGTGGCTGTGTGGCATTTAGTTGCCAGCCAGCCTAAACCACGACATCTGGAAATACCAAGTTTATGTAGTGCGACTGCATTTTTTTATAATGCCAGACAGGTAGCTGGAGAAGGAGATTTACATCTCCATCAGCAGGAGCATTAAAAGTAGCACAATTATTTTCTTCTCTTCTGTCTTAATAGAAATTAACGGCTGTGGAAGCAGTTACAGTTATGTAACAGTTATGTAGATGACAATTCTGTATTTTTTGGTATTACATTTCTGCTTTAAAACAAATCCCTTTGATTTTTTGCAGCACTTAAAACTTACTTTATTGTGTCATTATTATTTATTTATAAAAATGTCAAATATTTTCTCTAATAGATTTACAAAAATGATCAGTTTATGCTGTATTGTGTGAATTATTGAGGCAGCTTCTACGCTTATTAAATTTTACCTTATATTTGATTACTGTGTTTAATGTTTATTGTGCATGAACATAACTATATGTATGTTTTAATTAGCGGGCTTCTTTCATGGAAAGCTTAAAAGCAGATAGTGTTTGTTTATATTTTATTTTCAACTGAAACGCAAAAAAAGACCATTTTTTATTTGTTTGAGAGGGTCATCTACCCCTGGAAATTAAAAGCTAGCAAAGTTGAATAGTGACACTGTTTTACAAGAATTTAACTGCACTCCTCCTTCTGTTGAAAGTTCAGCATGCTCCTGCACTGCAGAGCTGGCTGTGGACCAGTAATAAAGTTGTTTGTTTTTTTTTTCCCGTGGAACTAAAAGGCTGCCTATTGCAGCAACAGTAATACTGATAGCATGATCAGTGTTTCTTAAGTATGATTTGCATCTCTTGTCCACTGAGTTCACATCATATGTCGTTCGTATGTTACTCTGTGCCAGCAGAAGGGTGAATTGGCAGTTTCTGTCAATGCAGATGAAAAGTTGTGATTTTTCAAATTAATTTGGATGCTTTGAGCATTTATAAATTACAACAGAATATGGAATTCGATGGTTCATACGTCTTTATAGGCAAGTTGCTACAACCGTTCCCAGGTATAATCCAAATCTGTATCATCACTGTTTTCCCACCCTACAGGAATGCTTCTGTACATCGTCACACAAGAGTTTGGTCACTCAGGTCGCTGTTTCCATAACTGATGGTCATAAATGTGAAATATACACATACCTGTGTGCACATACACATAAGTCAGAGTAGGTAAAGTCAGTCTTGACCTTTTCACTGTTAATGTTGCTACAAATCCAGTACAGTTGTAATTCTTGGTCTAGCCTTTTTCCAGTATTGTGGCAATCTCTTCTTATTGCCAAATTAAATGGTCATCTCTTTTTATATTTAATAACTTCTATACTGAGTATTTGTATTTGTGGGACTTCTCACAACTGAACTGAAAGACTGGAGAAACAGTATCAACTATACTTACTTGTATTAATATTACATGGTTTATAAGATTATAGGAGTTCTTTCTTTGAGCAACTTTCCAAGTTGAGGGTTTATTTGTCTACTTTACCAGTTTAGGTAAGTGTGTTTGCAGCCACAAGCCTGTTACGGAAACTGCTTATCACGGGGCTGGGATTACTTGTAGTATTATGTCTGCGTGTGAAATGCCTACTTCTAATTCAAAAGCAGCAATATTAGTGATACTTCAAATCCCAGTCATCCCTTTTCTGCAATTCTTTAAACCGTATCTGTCTGCTTTTGCCTTCTCATACATCTGATGATAGGAGAAGAGTGAGATAGAAAACCATCAAAACAAAAATTATTTTTGCATTTTCTTTTTTATTGACAATATTCTTTTTGACATGTGAACTCCTTATTTGTACCCTTGTTGCCAGGTACCTGATTTGTTCATGCATTCTTGATACTTTCAGACACTTGTATGTGCAGTTGTTTGGGGTTAACACTGCTATTGAACTTACAGCTGAGGGAGCATTGTTCTGCTAAAGGCGGGCTGGATCAAAATCATTTTTATCTTTTTTTGAATTCTGTACTTTTTTGTTTGTTTGTTTGTTAATTTCTATTATGAAATATGTAGGCTTTAAAGTTTCCAATCCTTGTTTCTGCTCTATTCTGTTTGTAGGCAATCCGAAGTTTCCAGGTATCCTTACACATCTTTCCAATGAACCCTGAAGTATGGAAAGAGGACCTTTCCTGGGCAAGAAAACTACATGAACAACAGAAGGCAACGAAGACTGAGGCAGTGCAAGCACTGGCAAAAGAAAAAGATCTTGCACAAGAATCAATCCCAGACTATGACTTTGAAAGTGATGAAATTGTGGAAGTCTGTGCTGCCATTGCAGAGAAGGAGAAAGCTCTTTCAGCAGCTAAAACGGTAGTGATTGTGTCTGCTTCAGGTGCGGTAGAGACTGTTGCAGAGAAGGAGAATTGTCCCACAACTCCTGATGAAACCCTTTTCATCAGAGCCCGATAGGGCAGCCTTATGGTTTGCCAGTACTGTTTTCAGAACTAGTGTTATTTATTGTATTGGGCTTGCTCTGTTTTTGTTTTTTAAGCAGTGGGAGAGCCTACAAAAGTTAAATAATTGAACTTATTTTTATTTTCTAAATTGAAAAAGCAATGACTTGAGTTGTTGTTCCATCCATATTTCTGGAGAAGAATGTCAAGAGTTCATTGTAAAAATATTACAAACAAATGTAATGTTAAAGTGCTTAGCTACGTTCTAACAACTGCTTTCATCTTTCTGTACTTAATGATTTTTCAAGTTAATGCCTACATTTTTCCTGTGATTAATAAGCTTTTATTTAAACTGTAAAGGAAAAAGGATTTTTAAAAAAATCAATTTAAATCCTCATTCGTTAGCATTATTTACTTTCCTTTTCTCTGTTGTCAGAATTCTTTGCTTTCATTAAGATTACTTTTTCTATGAGGAAGTTTCTATGAAGCAGAGATGGATTATTATTTCGCTTGTGTGTGTGCGATAGACCTGGCATCTGATTTGTAGTCGAATCAGTAGAAACCTTTATGTTGCTTTCATAGGCGAATGTGTTGAACACTTTCTGATTAGATGAAAGGAAATGCTATTCCAAACAAGCCCCTGCGTGCTTAGTTATTACCAAATGTTTCACCAGAAGAGAAAACGTTCAGCTGATACTGAAGCTGGCCTGCTCTTGGTCTTGAGTGCTGTGCTGCAGACATCACCAAAAGTAAAATGGTGAGAGTTGGAAATAGGTATGTCTAAGTAGTGTGTTACATTTAGCCTTTTCTTTTCTAGTGGCACTAGGATAGTGTTTATCTGTTTTTCGTGATTTTTATGACCTGCCGTTTAAAGCATGTTCTTAGTGAACCAGTTCTTCAAGACAGCGTTGCCTGCGTCTCTCTTTTTATCCTTTTTGTGTTTTGAATGCTGCAGTGGGTGTTCACATGGCGTTAACGTGGAGGCATAACGTAGCAGATTTGTGTAATATTTGTCGTTTTTTAGAGGAAGGTGGCCGTTGGTTCCTCACGGAGGCGGTTCAGGGGAACAAAGTCAGGCTGTTTCTTTGTGCTCTGTGCTGAGGCCACTTTCTTTTCATTGTCTTGGAGACATGGTAGAGATGGTGATCTTCTAACTGGACTGGAAAAAATGGTCAACTGAGGAATTCCCGGAGAATTCAGGATTGGGAGATGTCATTTCTACTTGATCTTGATAACATTTTGAATGATAAAAACATTTTGAATAATGGTTTTATGTAAGTGAAAAGTGAAACCTTTTGAAATCAGTCATCTTCGCGTTTTTCATATCTGATTTCTATTTGCAAAATAACACATTTTAAAAGGAAACAAAGTTGCTTGAGAAGCATACTGACTTTAGCTATAGAAAGTGTATTGTAGAAAAATTATTTACCTCAGATCATCCTTTCAGTTGAATATCTTTATTTCAGAGGACACTTACAGCCTTTGCAGAAATTAGTTATCTTTTTCAAAAACTGAATTGCCATCTCGTACTTACTAAGTTTTCATTAATTTTCGCAAGAGTCTTCCTGGATATATTTTTGTGTATGTGTGAATTTTTAGATCTGCCCTTGCACGAGCAAACACAAAAAATTTACACTTTATAACATCTCCTGAGTTCTCAAAATAATTACAATTACAGCAACTGAAGTATATTAGGAAATGTAAAACATCACTCTGATACATTTTTATTTGTCCATTCAGTTCAGAAATAGATCTTAAATGCTTACTGAATAGATATTTGATTAAGGTATGGCTTGATAGAAAGTTTAAATTGTCCTAGTTGAAGAATTTCTAAATCTTATTTTTCCTTAATGATACAATCTAGTCAGCCATAGGAAGAGTTAGCATGAGAAGCATTTGGACAGATTTCTTGAAAGAAGAGACATTCTCTGGCTAGAAAAGGAAATGTGTGAGAAGCTGTAAGGTATGTTTTCCTTTTGTAATTTGTCCTTGCCCACGGCAGGGGGGGTGGAACTAGATATCTTTCAGGTCCCTTCCAACCCAAACCATTCTGTGATTTTGAAGGCGCTTGGCTACAATCCAACACATCTTTTCTATCTTTGTGCTTTATACTTGCGTCAGCATTATGTATTTACTCATACAGGAAGGACTGCCTCCCTCCTTTCAGAGGTCCCTGTTATCACAGAATCTGTTTCCACTGAAATGATTCACAAAATTCCTATTGATTTCAGCACTGCTGGGCCGAACTAATGGAGGGGTGTGCATCTACACCATCAGGCAGAATGGCCATGCTGGGTTTGAGGGGTGGTAGTTTCCATCCTCTGTGCTGAATGTGTTTTTCTTCTGAGTGGATTAGGTTATGAATTCTGGGTATTGTCAGGACCGTAGTGTCTGGTAGAGCACTGTAGATCAGACAAGTTCTTGTGGCACTGTTATTCTCAAACTAGGAAGAAGTCCAAAAATTGATGATTTCAACATTGTTTTTTGTACAGCATGCCATGTTTTGCATGTATGGGATTTTCTGGATCTATTTGAATAAAATACTGACTTCTCTGCTGCTTAGTGATGCCTTTTTATTCTTTTGGTTATAACAAGAATACGGGTTACCATTGACCGTTTTATAATGTTACTCATTTAACGAATTGACTTCTTCTGTGTCTGCTGAATGTGTTGATGTGTTACAGTGAAATAAAAGACATATCAGGAAAAATACTTAATAAAAGGTAGTGCTCAGTGCTTTTAAACTTCTCGCGGGGTATCCAAATGAGAAGGACCCAAAGGAAAAAGCCTTTGTTACTAAAGTGGGATATCTGTGAAGCATACTCCCACTT